TTTTAAAAAATAGAAACTAATTTAATAAAATAAAAACTACCATCCAATGATCATCATCCAAAACACATATAAAATTAATCTGGTAAAAATTAAATAAACAAAATGTCTAGAAAATTTATCAAAATTTTACATAATTTTATTCTTTAGTGGGTAGAAAATAATATTTAAAAATTCAAAATATTTTTTTGACATTTATTTTGTCAGATTAATTTATATTTTATTAAATGACAACTTTGCCCTTTGAAATTGAAGCAATAGTATCTTCAATTGTCCTTATTTGGAACACAATCCAAGATTCAGGGTCAAAATAGTCACAGACTGAAAGTTATGGGATTCAAAAGTGACACAGAATCCAACTAGGGGAACCGTTATTGTAATTCATCCTTAATAATAAAAGTTGCCATTGCCATGTTGTGTTTTTGCATTCTGCTTGGTTTAAAACTTTCCAATTATGATTAATATTTTAACTGTAATTTTCTTTGTAGATGTGCAGTGTTACATGTTCTGCTTCTGCAATTTTTGAGAAAATCAGCAAACTTTATTTTTAAAAACAATTAAGTTGGCAATACAAACAAAAACTAAAGAAACAGATAATGTAGCCATAAAAGGCAAAAAAGAAAGAAAAGCAAGCCAAGGATATATCCTAGAAGCTAAAAAATAGCCACCAAGCAAGCACACTAAACAACAGTAAAACCAGCCTTTGCAAGCATCAGGAACCTTCTCAAACTCCTCCCCTGACAATGAACACCTTGCACAATATTGAAATATTAAAATCTACATGTTTACATTCTAAATCATTCAATTTGATTATTGCAGTATGGCAATAATCATTCTAACTTTATATGAATTTCTCTTCTTGTCTCTCACTTCTTAGATGTTCATGGATATATATTGATTTTTCCTTAAAATCTCCCTAATTTTCCAGTTATTTTGATGCAACTATGTACCTAGGCTGTAGATCATAGCTGAGTAAGAAAATCAAAACATTATATAACTGAAACTAGGTCCAAAACGCAATCTTGGTAGTTTGGGTTGGTATTTTTAATTCATGTTCAGTCTAAGTTTGGAAAATTGGGGAATCGGCTCTCCGCGGATTAGTTTTGGATAACAATTGCAGTTTTGGATTTGAACCGAACCAGACCGTATAAACCATATATGTTTGTTTGTTAGATATTATTTTATTCAATTTTTTTGAAACATGAGAAACATTATATTAATGAAACAACAACAATACATAAACAAGACCCTAAAGGCCATCCAACCAAAAAAACAAAACAACAAAAAACAAATCCGTCAAAAACCAGTTACGATCCAGGAAAATCATCAATTTGCTCAAAGATGTGGTCTAAAGTTTATGTTTGAAAAATCATGACAGATTAATGTTGAACAATATTGCTTAATATTATATTTGGAAAATTTGATCAAAGCCTCACATAAATAAAACTTTAATGCATTAAAGAGAAGTACAAAAAAGTTTTTCCTGGAAAGTCCAACATATACCACTATTATCAAAATATATTTAGTGAGTAATTTAATATTTTAATTTTAAAATAATATAACTTTTGGTCTAAATGTGGTTTTTTAACTAAATTAGCATTTTTAGAATCTTCTCATCAAGATCTATAAACAAGATCCATGTTAACTATGAAATTCTAAAAAATAAAAGATAACAAAAAACACCATCGAAAGTTCCATAAACGGTAATAAGTTACTCTGTTTGATAGTAATACGTTACTCTATCTCACAGTAACATATTACTCTGGTTCATACTAACATTTTACTATTACAAAAAAACAGAGTACATACTAGATGAACCAAACCAAAAATACACATTGACAACATTTTTAAACTTGTATAAAATAAAATACTAGTGTTCTCATCAGAAGAGTTATGTGATATATATATATAATATTGTCCAAGAAAAAAGAAAAAAAAATATTTTGTCTTTACTCAATTATGCGCTTCCTCTTTATCGAGTTTATGAAACAAAATAAATTGGGGTGTCCTTTTCACCAAACAAGGTCCAATGGAGGTTTGGGGAAATTCTATTTCTAACATAGCTACTTATGTCAGTGCACATCTTTCTCAGTACACATACTTAGTAATGTAATTATTAATTTTTGTCTCATTCCACACACCAATTATTACAATCACACTCTTAACTCATATCTTGTACACACACTACCTTAACCCTCTTTCCACACATCTATTCAAATTGAAAGAGCAACAATCTGCCCTATTTCGGTTTATAGTCAAAGAAACTCCATTGAAGAGACTGAAGACCTAAGACCCTCCATTGACAATAATCTATGAAAACCCTCCTCGTCCATTCGACACTCTAGTTCTGAAATCTGTGTAAAAGATTACTTGGTTTCAATTTTGTTATCGAATTTGGTACCATTAGTTTCTTTGTCAAGTGCATTGACAATAGAATAAAACCCTCATTTTTTTCCTTGAAGAATTGTAATTTTGGGAATTCAGCATTGTTTTTCGAAATTTATTTTTTAATTCGACACTTGGTTTCGAAATAGATGATTTTTTTCGACATTATAGTTTCGAAATATACTAATTTGTTTGCCACTGTAGTTCTGAATAAAATATAATATTTCGGCATTGGTTTTCGAATTAATATGGAAAAAAAAAATCTACACGAAAAACTAACCTTTTCATTATTGCTTTTGCTGTCATCAGGCATATTTTTACGTAATTTTGAACTTCGTGAAACTTCATTGGTTTAGTAACTCTTCTGTAATAAATCAAGAATAATTGTAGAAACTAAATGAGAAAACATATAAATAATGGGAGTATAAACCTCAGAGAGTAAAGCAATATAGAGTTGTTATAAGAGTATTGCTTTGCAGCAATAGAAGAGTATAGATTGTGCAAGCAAAGTCAAAAACAATGGAAAAGTGACAATAAATGATTGAAAATTGGGTTTAATTTTTTTCTACTCAAAAATATGTACACTGGAGATTTTTTTAATTTTTAAAAAGATGTGTACAAAGAATATTTTGATATAATATTATGGTGTTAGTGGATGTCCATCGTGGTCATTTTAATTTAGGGTATAATTGTCATTAAAATAATATTTCATTAAGTATGTGAACTGATGTAATTAGGTGTGTGGAAATAGAATTTCCTGGGTTTTGCGCTAAATTTTCTTTATAATTTTGCTTAACCTGCGTGAATATTATGAGAGTAATTTGTTTGATGGACATGTATTATATTTTCCATAATTTATGATAGGTTAAAAATGTTATATGATTTTTTTGTGACACAGATTTTGTGAAATCGTGGTTGCAAACTGAACTGAACCATTGTATTAAAGATTTGGTTCAGATTGGTTCCATAATTTTAAATGGTTGGTTTGTTTCAAATTTTTATGAAAACCATAGACAATGGATTGGTTTTGATTTATCTCCAAACTGATCCAAACCCGGACTATGCTTACGCCTAGTAGATTCATTCTAAATACGTAAAACGATAACACAAAAATGTGCGTAACACTATATGTTCCTAAACAACAATGATTTTAGACCACTAAAAAATACATCAACTAATAGCACTAACATTGAAAATACAAAACAAATTAATAAAAAAATTAAAACAAGGCCATAGAAAGTGGGCGGGGCCCACTGCCACATCATTAGTGCTCCCTTTAGTATTCTCTTTTAGTGCTCCCAAAATTTTTCTGTTTAAATTATGGTTACGATAAAAATAAATTGGTATAATTGACAATTAAATATCAAATAAAATTTAGGATTTTTTCGCAAATTAGTCATATAGCCCGATTTTCTATGAGAATTATGACATTGTTTACGTTCTAATGAAGTCAAGACTAAGCTTATTTTAGTGTTTTGTTTATTATATTTTGTAATATATATATATTTTATTTTTATTTTTTTACTTCCAAGGAAACCTTAAAACAAATATATTGGGGAAAAAAAAATTGAGATCACTTTGGATCACTAAATTTATTATCATTTGAAATAAAAGTGCAACATATTTTGAAACGTGCATTTCAAAATATAATTCGCTAGCGTATCAATATTTTTTGTACGTCAGATGCCACACAATGCCCAGAACTTGAATTTTTTTGTTAATAGAGACCTTTGCTTTCTGGCGAATGCTTATAAATATTAAGGACATTAAATACAATGCTTTAGGAAACACTTTGCAGGGTTTAGACAAAAGAGAGGAGGAAGAGCAAGCAAGTGAACAAGTAACTGTTTTTTCTTGGTCCACATACTGTGAGTTGTTCTTGAACACAAGGCAATCCAAAAACACTAGTCCTGGAAGTAGTTTCCTTTGGAGTAAGAAGTCCAACCATTTCTATAGAAACACCAATTTTATCCTCCTCAGCAGCCTATATTTGGATTGTACTGTACAACCAGGCTAAGCTAATCATTTCACCCATGGTAAGAATATGAATGGGAGTGGAGGTAACACATGGTACTTCACTCTTCCTATTCTGAAAGAATCAAAGATAATGTTTTCATTCCAATTTGTCAAACCTTATCATTCACTTCTATAGCTAAAAGAAAATGTTCCAATTTCTAAAATTTTGGTTTGCATTATCATTGAGATGTCAGCCCAAAAAGGCATCATCTGTAATTTCATTTCACAATGACCAGCAGCTTTTACGTTTCCTTTCCAATTTTTCAGTTGGACCCTTGTTTAAACATTATATTCCATATCACTTAAGGCAAGCAAAACTGAAAAAGATGTTGTACAAGTAAATAGGATTTGAGACTAGTTGATCATGCATCATCAATGAGTAATGATTCAAATGCAAGTTATGAGGCTAAATGCTTTTCAATAAAATCACCTCAGAAACAAGTGGTCATGGGAAGGGCACTTATGTGCCAAGGTGAGTGAGATTTCAAAGTTCAAGTCAATGGAGAAACGCTGGCCTGCATTGTAATCTAAGTAACATACTAACAACTATCTTGTGCCCAAAAAAAAATACAAAAACTTTTAAGAGTTCAAATTACAAGCCTTCTTTTCAAATTCAGACTGCAAAAAATCAGAGAAATATGCAGAGGGAATATGGCATTTTTTCTAACAAATAGCCCTGACAATTCTTCCTCCTCAATTCACAAGTCCAATAAGCCCTAGAACTATCTTTCTCTCTTTACGTACAGAATGCAAGTGCCAGAGATAAATCATATCAGTCATTGACCTCCTCTAGTTTCCAAAGATGTTCAATTTTAATGCTGCGAGTTTTGAACTGTTCCATTAAGATGACTATTTCTCTAGTTCTGTCCACTGTCAAATGCTTAATCTGCGAGCAGCACTTCAAAATTTCCTCAATGCCTTCTGTCAATGTGTAAAGTCCTGTAACATTGAGAGTCTGTAAGTTGGGGCAAACAACCCCTATTTTTTGCAGGAATTCATTATTCACACGAGCACAACTCAAATCCAAGGATCTAATTTGATAATTCCTCTCCAAATCCATATCAAAATTATCTTCAACTTGTAGATTTATATGTGGCATTTCAATCTCTGAAAGCACAGGACATTCTTTTACAAGGATGAAGAAGATTGCAGTGGTTAAGTTTGAACACTGGTAAAACTTTATGGACACAAGATTAGGAAGATATCGACATAAATCCCTCATGGAATTGTCGGTGAGGATATCTATGGAACAAAACATCAAGTGTGTCAAAGATGGGCATGCACAAAAGAAAGTAGAGAGTCCATGTAAGCTCAAACCAGAATCATTATATAATATGATCTTCTCTAATTGAATGCCTGCTGCTGCAATGGAACAAATTAGCAAGGTTGTTAAGATCGCGATCCGGATCGTAGGATCGTACGATCCTACGATCCATTTTTGGAGAATCGATCTAGATTGCATGATAAGTCCTATTTTGTTCAGGATCGTTGCAGGATCGGTAGGATCGTACGTGGGATCGTAGGATCGTATTTGGATCGCGATCCTATACGACCCTACTTTTGGCCTTTTTTTTGATATTTTTATTACAGGTTTGATGCATTTTCTAAAGACCCACGAGTCCACGACATGAGATTAGGGCCAAATATTGGGGGAAAGTTGGTCACGAGAGCTGAGCAGCCTCCATCCAACCTCCATCCAGATTCTAGGTATGCTTCTTCTTCTTCGTCTTCTCTTCTTCTTCTTCTTCTTCTTCTTCTTCTCTGTTCGACTCATTTTTCTCTATGCTTCGACTCCTTCTCTTCTCCTCTGTTCGACTCCTTCTTCTCCTCTGTTCGTATTCTTCGACTCCTTCTTCTCCTTTGTTCTGTTCGTCTTCTTCGACTCCTTTTCTTCTTCTCCTCCATCTTCTTTTTCCTCTGCTACTGTTTCTTTTTTTCCCTCTTCTTCCATTTTTCTGTCTTTCATTCCCCTTTTGTTTTCCCCCTTTTCCCCTTCTTCTTCCATTTTTCCCCTTCTTCCATTTTTCCATTTTCCTATCAACCTAATTTTGAACTTGTATTTTATTTTTGCAGATATACCACCAAGGAAAAGTGCGCAGATACCACCAAGGAAAAGTGTAGCTTTATACAGGTTTGTTCTCAATTAATTTGTAAATTGTAACATGACTTTAGATTACCTAGTGAGTTGATTCAATATTTGCTCTGTCTTTTTATTAACATAAGCTAAAGTTGCTTATGATTATTATGTAGTCTTTCATTTGTAAATTAACTTCTAAATTCTAATTTATCCTTATCTTGACTTTTTTCTCTCTGATATTTCACAACTATCAAATTGTAAATTGTAGTAAATTGATTCAGTGATATTCAATATATGATTGTAGGTTTGTGAATTGAGTTAACAATGTCTGCCTCTGGTTCTGGAAGAGGGAGGAAGAGGAAAAATGTTGCGGGCAACCGAACGGATCCTGGTTGGGAACATGGAATTGAAATAGATGCTGCAACCAAAAAGGTACAATTCAAGTATTGTAACGTGACTCGATCGGGAGGTATATTTAGATTAAAACATCATTTAGCTTGTACTCATCAAAATGTTGAGCCATGTCCTCAAGTCCCAGAAGATGTTAGATAAAAGTTCATGAGTCTTTTAAGAACTCAAACATTAGAGTCTCAAAATAAAAAGAGAAAGCTGTTTGATGTTGGTGATGATTCTGAAGAGGAGGTGGAACTATTATCATGTGATCATCAAAACAAACAAAAATGGGTGGGTGCCATGGATAAATTTGTGATGAAGAAATCTGGACGTCAAAATCAAAAAACTCTCAATCAAATGTTTAAGAAAGAAGATAGAGATGATGTTTGTCAAACCATAGCTCGTTTTTTTTACACTAGTGCAATTCCTTTTAATTGTGTCAACAACCCTATATTTCCACTCATGGTTAAGAAGATTGGGGATTATGGAAAAGGACTTGTGCCACCATCTTACCATGAAATTAGGGTGACATTTTTAAAAAAAGAAGTGCATGAGACACTACAATTGGTTGATGAGTTTAAGGAACAATGGAAGAAGACCGGATGTACAATTATGTCGGATGGATGGTCAGATAGAAAGAGAAGATCCATATGTAATTTTCTTGTGAATAGCCCTAATGGAACTATTTTCTTGTCATCACTAGATACATCCGACATTTCAAAAACGGATGAAAAGGTTTTTGAGATGTTAGATGAGCTTGTTGAGAAGGTTGGAGAAGAAAATGTTGTGCAAGTTGTAACTGACAATGCTTCTAATTATAAATTGGCAGGACAAATGTTAATGGATAACAGAAAGGGCTTGTTTTGGACTCCTTGTGCCGCCCATTGCATAGATTTAATGTTAGAAGATTTTGAGAAGGAAATACAAGTTCATTGTGTTACAATTGGTAAAGGAAAAAAGATTGTGGCATACATTTATTCAAGAACCAATCTTATTCATTGGATGAATGAGTTTACAAAAGACATTGAACTTATAAGGCCTGCGGTAACTCGGTTTGCCACCTCTTACTTGACATTGAGACGTCTTCATGAGCAAAAAGGTGCATTGTTCTCTCTATTTACATCAAACAAGTGGAGGAATAGTAGATTTGCGAAGTCTGAAAAGGGGAAAAAAATTGAAAATATTGTTTTGGACAATCGATATTTTTGGAAGGGTGTTTCTACCTGCTTGAAGGCTGCAGTACCTCTCATTAAGGTACTTAGGTTGGTGGATTCGGATGAGCATCCGGCAATGGGATTCATTTATGAAGCAATGGATCGTGCGAAAGAGGAAATTCAAAAGAATTTCAATAATGTCCTAAGATGGTAAACTTTTTATTTAGTGTTGGCTATTTATTTACTCTTTAATACTATTTCCCTAAACTTTTTATTTATTCATTAATAATATTTATTAAAGTGTGTCAGCTATGATCCTATATGGGCCATCATTGATAGAAGATGGGAAACCCAACTCCATCACCCATTGCATGCTGCAGCATACTTCTTGAACCCTTAGCTTCATTATAGTCCCAATTTTCAAGCTGATGCAGATATTAAAATTGGGTTGTACAAATGTCTTGAAAAAATGGTCCCTGACACTAATGAGAGGGTGAAGATAGATTTGCAAATTGATGCATTCAAGAATGCAAGAGGACTCTTTGGTATACAAAATGCAATCTTGACTAGAAAAAAGAGATCTCCAGGTTATTTATTTTTACCCTAAGTTGATTTGTAAGTAGTATCAATCTTATGTTATGATTATTTGTTTTGAAGAACTTTAAATTTTGAACTACTTAATTAAAATTTCGATGTAGGGGATTGGTGGGACTCTTTTGGTGATGAATGTCCTGAGTTGAAGAGGTTCGCAATTAGGGTATTAAGTCTAACATGCAGTTCATCGGGGTGTGAGCGCAATTGGAGTGCTTTTGAGATGGTACACTCAAAGTGGAGGAATCGTTTACACCAAAGGAGAATGAATGACTTGGTCTTTGTCATGTACAATTTGAAACTGAGACAAAGGCACAAGAATAGACAAGCAATCATGAATCCATTATGTTTGGATGATGTTCCATCAAACGATGAGTGGATAACAGAGAGAGAGAAGCCGACTCTTCCAAGAGAAGGAAATTGGTTGAGTGTGATTGATAGGAATGCTCGACATGGATGTCATTCAGAAGATGAGGAGGTAGATGCTCTTGCAAGGGATTTGGAACAAGCATGTAAGTCTAGGTACATGATTACATCTTTTAGTTTTAATTAGAAATTGCAATTTGGATTTAATTTGGATTTTTTTTTTTTTACTCTAACTTAGGCCGTGACCATATTGGAGAAAATGTCGATGAAATTCATGAAGTAAGTGATGATGATGATATGGATGACAACATGAATGCTCCAAGGGATTTTGATCATGACTTTGATGATGCTACTATTGGTGATGATGACATTGAGGAGTTGGGTGACACTATGGGTGATGATGAAGATGAGGGAGACAATGAGATCAACAATGTTGTTGATCGTGGCAATGATGATTTCGGCGATGAAAATGATGACTTATTTTAGTCTCTTGTTTATTTATTCTTCTCTTATTTTAGTTTGTTTTGTTAAGGATATCAATGTTGTGCAAGTGTTACTTGAAGACTTGAAGTTGAATTGCTATTTTCTTTTAATATGTTTTTTTGTTAAGATTTGAGGAAAATGTTTGAATGACAACTTGAATTGCCACCTTCTTTTATTATGTTTTATTTGTTTAAAAAAATGTGCAAAATGTATATTTAAATTGATTATTGTTAGTGAACAAGGCACACAAGTGAGAATGCGAGGATTTGAACCTCGATCTGCTCATAAGTATGAGAGCTCTACCATTTGAGCTACATTCTCAAGCTTTTTTGGGTCATTTTATATGTATTTTGATAGTATTAGTTAGACATATAAGAATTATTGCATTTTTTCATCGCTTTAGTAGGATCTTACGATCCCCGATCCGATCCTACGATCCGATCCTCCAGACCCCCAAAACGATCCTATGTAGGATCCCGATCTTAATAACCTTGCAAATTAGTCGGTCATGATTTCCATGCGGGTCTAACTCAAGATCACGTAAAGATGTTGCATAAATCATGGAATTCTCAAAAGTGAACGAAACGTCTGGCGAACTGTAATAGTGTCCCGCTTTGAAACAAATCAAGTTTCGACTGTGGCGTAGTACAAAACAAATGCCATGTTCAGTTACTTTGCATGAACCACAACGAATTTCATTCAAAAGCACACAATTTGAAGACAAAGCAATGAGAGATCGATCAAAACAACCAACCTGCCCTGTTATATCAATTTTACGCAACCCCCAAAGCTTACGCGACAATGCCTCGATCCCAGCGTCAGTTACCATGTACTTTGCGCTTCTAGAATTTGAATCCCGCCCAGGGCTCCAATAGTAGCAGGAAAACTGGATATCGAGCTCTTCAAGCCATGGTAAAGCATCAGCTATAGCAACAAGGTGGTGATTGCGAAGACACTCGAGTAGACAACATCTTAGAATCTTCAAGTTCTTCATGGTGGAACCCAATTTCATGAAAGTTTTCAAGAATGGGGGTTTTCGTAAACAAGTTAGAGAGAGGGATTGAAGATCTAACCCTGAAGAAGCGATTCTTCGAATGGGGTAGTTGACATCGGCTTTGTCACCGAAGATAGGATCACGAAGTTCGATCTCTTTGAGGTTTCTGAATCGTTGAAGGGATCTGAATAAAGCATCACAGTTATTTCAGTAGAACAATCTGTCGGAGGCCTCCAATTTGAGTCGAATTCGATCGGTGATTGAGAGGAATTGCTTGCAGACCAAAGAAGGGGATTGCAAGGAGTTGAAGTCATCGATTGCTAATCGATTCAGAATCAATTCCCAGCAATCTTCCGAGAGTTCCTTACGACGGTGTTTCATGATTTGATTTCAAGAAACAATTCAAACAGATTAGTTTGTATATGGTTAGGGAAGATGATAATCACGAGATGGGAGAAAACCCTTTTTTATGGTTACGATTTCAAACTCTGTTTTATTTTTATTTTTTTAAATGAAAAAAAAATTCATGATATAAAAAAAATATTATATATTTTTCTTATAGAGTTATGATAATTTATAATTTAAAAATACAATTACACATTTTGTGATAATGTTATATATTTTTGTGTTAATATTATAAATTTTTTATTTAAACATTTTCAAACCATAAAATGTGTAATATTATCATAAAAAGCTTTTCGAAGGGTATTTTTGTGAATGTGAGCGTGCCAGCAAGGATCAATCAGTCCTTACAGAAATTGTGATTGCCAACCAATTATCAGACGATTGTGTTTTAGTTCTTTTCAGCCTCAATGAAGAGGACTTTTACTGGTGGCTTGATTTAGGAGAAGTTAATAGAAAATAACAGTAATATGAAGAACAATTGAAGTATTTCATAAAAATGAACACTTACAATGGTCCGAACTCAGCCTCAGAGAGGTTTACAACAGCAATCTACTTGAATCTACTTGAAGCTACTCCTATGAATCGAAGTGCAATGCTGGTATTTAAAGTGCAGGTATTTAAAGAACAGGTATTTAAAGACTGGAAATGTAAATGACTGGAAAAGAAAATATATGAAGTAAATGACTGGTTTGTATGATCTGAGTCCCCCTTTTTCCTGGGGCTGCTCTGCTATTTATACTCGTCAGTGATGACTCGAAGCCAAAAGGCTCGAGGGTAGTTCGGTCAGAATACAAAGGGAGCTTAGGGGAAGAACTCTTCTGTATCTGTAGTTTGTAAACCAAAGGATTAAAGGCAATGTGTTCATAGTCCAAAGGTTTATAATCTGGCAAAAGCCTCCATTACCTGAATATAGGAGGGCGGGTAAAGGTGGCTAATGAATGCGTGGAGGTTTTTCGAGGGGGAACAACATCACTCAAAGGCTCTTCATATGCTTGATCAATAGAAAGGGAAGTTGATGCAGCCATAGCATGTTTCGAATACTAAGGTATTGGGAATGTTCAACGAGTTAATGCAGATAACTCCAAATGGATGACGGTTGTGTTTCCAGAATATGGACTCCATACACGTTCTGGAAGCGCGGGAAAACTGCAATCCTAAATATCACCAAGTATTGGGTATATTAGTGCGGGGGTAATGTTGGCTACATATTTTGTAAAAGCCAGTTGCAGTTCGACACGTGGCCATAGTAAGGGTAATAAAGGAAGGTTATTCAAGCCTTTAATCCTGATCGTACACGTGGCAATAAATATTGGTCTCACATGATCTGAGTAACACTAGATCAAATAACGGGATGCAAAGATGACGTGTCTTCAACGGTTACTCATATTCAAATCCAGTACAAGAGGGAAGCTCAACTGCCAGTAATGGCGTAATGGAGCTACTTTTAAGGAAGCATGATCAGCGATCATGGAGGAGCAGTTCGACGGATCGAAGTGCAGTTCGACAGGTCCTCACT